GGTGTCCCACATTTTCCAAACATTCCATGTACTTATATAATTGGTGTTCTGGTTGTTAGAAGTGGCATCGACCTGATGACTTCCTAATAATCTCGGTTTTTATCATGATACATCATAAGTCTTCCTTCAACTCTGATGGCAAAGTTTAAATTGTATATTCTGGTTAGCAATTTTTAGTGAGGTTGTTTTCTACGAGATGTGGTTCATGACCCTACCATCCTCTTTTACACGAGCTTGGGACCGGCACTGTCTTTAGAAGGACTACATGAGATGTTTGATTAAATCTATTTAGTTTTTATTGATTCCCGGTATATAACGTATTTATAACATCTACTATATTACATGTACGTGACAAAGTACATAAATCATAAGAACAGAAACAAAGGTTAATATTCACATCCCTGAGAACATTCCACAGAATATTATACGAAGAGGCAATACATTTTCAGTCGTATGATCCCGAGTCATCAGCTTGACAACTGTCATGATGTTAATATCTCAAAATCCTTCAAGATTACTGAAAAATAGAGAACGTCAAATTTATTACGATTTACCAAAGGAACTGTCATCAAAAAACTTGAACCAAATTTATATATCAGAAGGGAGTTTCGTGGAGATTCTAGTAATTTTGTATATTTGAGATCATGAATCAGTTGAAGCTAGAACACTATGGAAAACCTGGAAACACTAGACAGCCGTTTCGTCCTATTGCGCGCATCCACGATCCCGCCTTGTGAGATTCGAACACAGGACCTACCAGTCTCGCGCCAGAGCACTTAATCGATAAACCACAGAGCCGGTCAGCATCCAACGGTGTTAATGTCTAACTTCAACCAATCTACGAAATAGCGCAACCATCTTTCAACCTGTCTCTACCTGACATGAATTAGCTCCACTAGTCACGACTTTTTTCACTAGAACTCCAGGAATTACTTTATGGAGCCAGTCATTAGTGAGCATATAATCATTATATATCCAGAAAGATGAAGTTGTTAATCTCTTCTTGCTATGGTGGACTTATTTATAAATATTTGTTACATAATTGTTCTTTTCATGACAATAATGATTAATTCTCACCTCTTATCTGTTTGTTACATAAGTAATAACATGAATATCTATTATATCTAAATAATTCCATTTCTATGGTCTTACTTGTTTATTTTAGAATGTGCTTTACACTCAGCCTAGAAATATTCAATGTGAACACCTTTCATCATTTTCTTGTACTTATTTTCCTTTTCATTAATCTGGATTGGTGAAAACTCTTACAAACTTATAATACATAAATGTATGTACACTGATTTGTTTTTGTAAGACTAATACTACTATGTTTAAGTTGTAAGCAGCTGGTGAGATACTGCGAAATACAATAAATTCATTTTATTCTGGAAGGCTGTTTTATCTTAGTATGGGACTTATCATCAGTGCACATTCATGATCCCTCATGGGAGATTAGAACCCACGACCTTCAATCTTGCGTGTGCACTGCTGATGAATCCCATACTAGGATGAAACAGTCGTCCAGTACTTCCACGTTTTTAATGGTGATAAATGTCCATCTGACAGATGGAATCTAAATTGATCTATTGCCAAATTTATAGTTGCTGTTGATTGATTGGTTGATTGATTTGAACTCATGAATATTGGTACAAAGAAGCATCAGATATATATGCGCCACACAAATCTCGTTTGATTTGTGTGAGGGCTGTGATACTGCACGGGTGCCCAAACCAAAGCAAGTGGTTTTCCTAGGGGACTACACCCGGAGCCTTTGGCCTAAAAGTCTGATCCACAAGGCAGTGGAGCATCGTGAGGAGATGCAGTCCCATGATGGCCGGTGACCAACATTAGGTTCTTATAGCATTTGTTTCATCAGAATTCTGAAGCCCATGTGCTTCATTGGTTTGGAATCAGGGTTTTCCAACTCCCCTGGGGGACTTTCTGTATCCACCAATCCGGCCAAAGCAATGGATATTCGCTTTTCGTCCTCTCAATTTCGTAAGCAACACCCACACCATGAGAAGGCAGTAAATAGGATTTCCCTGTCAGAGGCTATATACACGTGGCTATATGAGAGCATTTAAGGAGGGAGAGCGGACTCTCCCCACTCTTGGCCGTACCAGGGCATTTAGGGGCGTTGCTGTTGAAGATTTTAAGAATTTCTGTACGGAAGATATTTCTTAAATCTTGACAAACGTTGTGAGTCATTGAATATCATTAGTTGGTGTTATTGCGGCTATCTAACCAGAAAGTTGTTTGATTGACCTAAGATAGGTATCATTAGTAATATTTGTGTAGTCGTAAATAAATCCCCAAAATCAATAGCTCTGTAAGTTTTGCACATTGGATGCTGACCACATCAGTTTTAATAGACTCATTTAGCTGAAGGCGCTCGGTCATGCATCTGAACCAAATCACGGTTTGGAACGGCGTGCTCAACGTCTCCTGAGATTACTAGCCAGTTTAGATCAGTCACTCCTCGATATATTGATAATCTATCAAATATATTTTTGGACCGACTCTCTTCTAACTTTTGATTTTACTGAGTGGGCGAGATTTGATTATAGAAGGTGTTAGTTCGATTATTTCTTGATACAATAAAATATACAAGTGTGACGTGCCTGATCAACAGAATCCGATCAGTAATAATATATTACAGATGACATTGGTTAGTGCTCATTGACCAATCATTCTGAATATATCAGTCCTAGTGAATGTCTTAATAGTTTAGTAGTATGATCCATGCATTTTACACTGACATGGGTCCGAATCCTATGGGGAACTTCAATCTCCTCAACATCTCACATACCTTTTGTTAACGAGTGCCTACTAATCTAAAATCTACATTGAAGACTTTCTGTTGATTACCTCCAAGTATCTAATATCTCTATAATGTAGGTTTTATGAATCTCTTAGCAAGAGTTTAACTCCTATTTACAATTTGACATTATCCACAGAACTGATGTATTATATTATGACATGATACACATGTCTTTAAACTTGGAAAAGATCAGAGTGTGACATATTATAATGAACACTATTATACAGTACGATGAGTTAGACATTATCTAAGTCAATAAGATTGTCAGTTAATTCACTTTTGAATCTACTATTTCATCGATGTTTAACATGGATTGATTCACCTCAGATAATTACACTGCTTATAATATTGGATCCTAGTTAGTCATATGGCTGTAATGAATTTTAAATTATTGTCAGAAGGGGTTTTGTGGAGATTTCAGTATTTTCATAGTTGAAATCATCAGTCAATCGAAGCTAGACCACCATGTTAAACCTGGAAGCACTAGACGGCCGTTTCGTCCTATTACGGGACTCCTCAGCAGTGTGCATCCATGATCACGTCTCGCGAGATTTGAACCCAGAACCTATCAGTCTCGAGCTCCAGAACTTAACCGATAGACCCCTGAGTTAGCAGGCATCTAATAGTGTTAATGTCTAACTACAACCAATCTACGAAATTTGAGCCCAATGCTTCCAGGTTTTTGATGGTGATCTAGCTTCAATTGACTCATGATTTCAACTATTTGAATTATTGCCTAATTTTTGATTATAATTACACAACCAGAAAAAGTCTAAATTTATATCTGCAATGGTATTTCTTCTTAGATTTCTGTGTTGATCATATTGTAGCGGTAAATAAATCCTCAAAATCAATAACTGTAAGTCCTCGACATCTGATGCTGACCTCATTTATTTTAAGGTGCTCGGTCATGCTTCCACGCCAGATCACGAGTTGATACGCTGTGCTCAACTTCTCTGATAACTGTTATCGAGTTTAGATCAGTCAATTCTCGATATATCGATAGCCTATCAAATATATCTTACAACCTCTGATTTCACTGTGTTGGCACGTTTCGATTATGGAAGGCATTACTAGTCAAGGGATTGTCAAACTCTAAACACTTGTGACATCTTTAATATCAATGAAATTTGTATCAGAAATAGTATCATTGTCTATTTAAGATTGGTTGTGAATAGATAGTTTCTGATCTATCCATGTAGCTAAATATAATACCGTTTACCTACAGCTAATACAAATTTGAAACAAAACATACCAACTTATTTATTACACCCAATAGAGCAAATACTTGTTGATTAATGAAGGGAAGACAAAAACAATTGAGTAAATCATGTTTTAAAAGGGCCCTAAATAGGGCCATTGATCGTTCTCCAATTTATATTCCACCTCTTTCTCCATTTGTATGATCTTTGTTTACTTCAATTCATTCATAAATTTTGAATTCAATCTTTATCCTTCGTTCATTTCTAACGAATTCGGGATCTGTATTTATCTCATCTAGAGCGTATATGAAGCTCAAGAAAAACACATTCACATACATTATAAATACATAAATTTATTCAGCTCTTATATATAATCTATTTGTGTATCGGATCTAGTTTTACATCGGCTTATGCTCCATTAGGAGTAACAGGCGTAAGTAAATAAGTAAGTCGGTAATCTAGTTTTACAATCTTTCTACTGAAAAACCGTTCCAATATTTAGTTGGTAAGTATAGACTCCGCCCGTAGCTCCTCCGGGGGCTACTACCGGTCCCAAGCCCGAGGTAAAGGCGGAGGGTTGGGCATGGGGTTAGCTACCCCCTCTCGTAGAAAACCAACTCGCTAAAAAAATACGCTAACCACAAAAAAAGGATAGACAAACGTTTACCCAAGAAGTTTCCCTTAACCTAATCTTTAAAGAAAATCAATGAATATTCAATAAGGTACAGTGTGAATAACTGTAAGTTCCTTCTATGAAATGTAACCAAATTTCTTGTCCCAAATTATTCCAAGAGAGATTTCTTTCTTTTCAACTTGGATTCTTGGACTATGATCTCTTCTTAATGGGTATCTATTTTAGAAAAGTTTCATATGTATCAAAGATACACTAAAGTTAAACAACAATGATCAACTTCAAAAGGAAAACCAAACTCTTAATAATCTAAAGTCTAGTCTTAGTTTATTTTTTCTAGTAATCTATACAACAACAGGTATTGAAAGTGTGATGAAAGCTTGTTTATCAGCTTAGTTTAAACTATTAATCTCGAAAAGATTGAATCATTAGTTTACCGACAAAAAGATTAAGTTTGTCGTCACAGAGTATGAACATATCCAGTAACCATTTTGTTTTCACCTTAACTACCATTGATTCATACAACTATCAGTTTCCTTAAAGTAATCAAAATTAGGGCTTAATCTAAAAGATCCTAATAAAATTGAAATACCACCAACCGTCAACTTGAAGTTTTAGATGCGTTTAGAAACCAAACATTCCATTGTGTGCCAATCTGCTAGTCTGCCACTAGTTCGAAACTTGATTATAAGAGTGTGTCGAGACTCTATTAACCAAATTACCAACTGTTACTCTCGTTCTTTATGAACACGTTGATGTGCTCGCATATTTGAACGATCAGCAAAACGTCGGCCACATATGGTACATTCATATGGTTTTTCACCTGTATGCGTTCTATGATGTATATCGCGAAGCCATGGACGTGAAAAACGTTTACCACAATCTTGACAATGAAATGGTAATGTATGCGTTGCTTCATGTAATCTAAAGTTAGAAAAATGAAAAAAAAACACATAAACACTGTATAATTTAATAGTCAATGGTTAACATAGTCTTGGCGTATATTCAAAATTCAATACCAGCAGCTACAAGATTCGATCGAGATTGTGGCCAACTTTGTCATTGCTCGATAAGTGTATTACATCCAGCAATTTTAGCCGACTTTCCGTTCATTTAATTGATGACTTTTATATATTAGAGTGTAGTTTCCATGAAAGATTAGTGAGACCAGTAAAATTACACTGGTTAATGGCCATAATCTGTCACTCTATCCTAACAAAGCATAAATTTATCATTGTTCATACATAAAAGTTCATTATCTATATATTTAAACTTATCAAACGATACTACTTGTTCTGTAAACTAATTGAATAGATTATTGTAATTTTATAGTTGAGTTCATGAGTCAATCAAAGCTAGACCCACCATGGAAAATCTGGAAGCACTTGACGGCCGTTTCGTCCTATTATGGGACTCCTCAGCAGTGCGCATCCACGATCCCGCACTCGCGAGATTCGAACCTAGGACCTATCAGTCCCGCATACTAGCGCTTAACCACTAACCACTCAGTCGGCATCCAACGGTGTTAATGTCTAACTTCAACCAATACACGATTTTGATCGACACACCCACCAATGACTTCAGTCAGTTGATATCTCACAACAGACCTGGTTGCGCTCCACTGGTCATTGCTTCTCACTAGAACTCTATAGAAGATTTTAGAGCATAAGGATTCCCTCGAATTATTGATCTATGTATGTTTGAATAAACTAATTTAGTTAAGAGATTAACTACTGTTAACTTACATATGAGTATAACTCAATACAAATTAGTGTTATTTTCAACAGTTGTGAACTAAGACACCACTTACTGTTAGTTAGTATTTTCCTTTTCTCATCCATGTAAACTACTTGTTTAAATTTAATATGGAACTCCTTAACAGTAAAGATCCATCCCCGAGGGATTCAAACCCAGGACCTATCGGTTCAGTGCTTTCAAGTTTTCCATGGTGATCTAGTTTCAACTGACTCATGAATTCAACTATTAAACCTTCTTCTGATAAGAAATTTAATATATTAATCAAATGAATTACCTTATGGATGACTTTACTGAATACGATTTTCCACAATATCGACAATCATAATGTTCTCCAGTTGTTTTTATCCCATTTTTTATTGATTGTTTCATGATTATTGATGATTTACAATTAAAAATAGATAAATCCATTGGATATAATTGTTCATTATCAACAAAATATTGATTTTCACCTATTCTTAATCGATAATGTTCTTCAAAATATTGATTTTTACATTCCATTGTCCTATTTGTCTTAATTAATGGTGTAGAATTTTCATTATTTTGATAAAACATACTACTTATATTAGAATTATTTGCTGATAGTAGTGATGGTGATGATAACAATACCGCTGAAGAGGATGAAGATGATGACACTGATGGTGAATGTGATAAGATAGAATCAATTGAGAATTTTAATTTTGAAATTTTTTGTTCATACTGGTTAGTTCTATTCAAACAGTCAATACTTTCATAACCACTATCGTTATAATAGACTCGATTCGTTGTATATGAGTCGATTTTCAAATTATTTAATAAAGAATCAGAGAAGTTTGAATAATGATTAAGATTATTGTGGAAATCTAAACACTGAGGAAGGTTATCTGGTGTAGGAATAGTGTCTATAAAAGAATAGAAATGTATATCAAAGTATGACGGTTAGAATCATATGCTGATATTATATGTTATACATATGTTAAGACTATGAAATGACTAAGTCTATACATATAAATGAGTACTGATTACAATAAGACGTGAGGTTAAGTCTGACAAGCTCAAGTAACTTCTTAACAAATAAAGGGTCATCGCGATTTGGAGTTAATTAGTCTGGGAACTGTTTTATATCTTGATCGATAGTATTCAGTTACTCCTCAAATACCGCAGCACGATCAAGGTTAAAGAAAAGCCTCACCTTGATTTCGAAATCTCATGTAAATCGCTACAAAGTAGTTCCATTCAATACATTCGCGTAATGCTGGGACTTGCATAATAGTGAGAAGTTGAAAGTAAGTATCTTATGCTTAAATTCTCTTGACTAATAAGGAGTGGAGTTGTAAAGCCATATTTGCAAGCTACTACATGGGGATTCAAATATCTTGAGGGGACGAATAACAAACTTAGCTACTATGGGATTGTATTCCCGGATGTTGATTAGACCTTACAGACTAGATAAATATGTAAAATACTTAGAGAGTAATCCCTTACAAAAATCATTTGCTTCTTTTTGAGTGATTGAGTAATATTCATACCCTCACATAAGTAATGTTAATGACCCAAACTTGGACAACAAGACACTAGCTACTATAAAGTAACTGAATGATTTAAATACATGTTTAATTGTGCACATTCTCATGTAGTTCCTAGAAATATTTCCTTGGTTAATTTAAATATTTTCATTAGTGCCCATTAAACTGTGAAACAATAAAAGGTCAAAAGAAATAACTTATTGTCATCATTAATAATTGTCAGCAAAACCTAGTCGTAGCTTCTACTATTCAGCTGTAATACCTACAACCATAATGTTGGGTGATGTGAGTTCAAATCTAAGGAAGCGATTTCTTGCTGATTTTCACTAGGGTTAGATGTAATAAGTCACTGAGAAAGTTAAGATACTCTAATTGACATCTGCTATCCCAAAACTTTACTTATCTTCCAGAACTTCAGAAAAATTCCATAAATCAATGACTGATTACTTATTAGTTAACTGAAGGAATTTTCAGTTGAACCATTAACAGACGATTCATCTTTTCATCTGTACATCAATTTAGAATTTCTTCTATCGATGGATCCAAACAAAGATTAAATCAAATAAGAAACTTTCATACTTATAATAGATGTATGTATTTTTCCCCGTATTTTGGTCTATAAAATCTGAAGTTGAAACTCAACTACTAAATTACATAAATAAGAACAAATGAGAAACAAAGTATTAACCTCTAGCACATAATAACTAACTATAAAATTATTTTAATAGTTGAGATCATGATTCAATTGAAGCTAAACCACCATGGAAAAAAAAACTAGAAGCACTGAACGGCCGTTTCGTCCTATTGTGGGACTACTCAGCAGTGCTCATCCACGATTCCTCCTCGCGAGATTCAATCACAAGATCTATCAGTTTCGCGCACAAGCGCCTAACCTCTAAACACTTAGCCGGCATCCAACAATGTTAATGTCTAACTTCAACCAATCCACGAAGTTTGAGCAACCGTTCACCAATTGTCTTCAGTGAGTTGTTATCTCACAATAGACCCGGTTGAACTCCATTGGTCATTACTTCTCATTAGAACTCCATGAAATACCTCTTGAAGTCAGTCACTAGTCAGTATATGATCATTATCCAAACTATGTTATTATTGATTCATCTTAATTTGAAATTCTTATTTATTAAAATATACACTTCATATTATAAATAAACAACTTAAAGATATGAAATCAACTTACCATTTATTTGAATTGATGCTTCATTAAAGAATTTTGGCGTTGAGTAATTAAATGAATAAGACATCTCTCTTTTTTTATACTTTCAAATGGATCGAATTGTTTTATCACTGAGTAACTTTTTTTTTTTTACAAAAAGGTTGGTAAGTAAAATGATACACATTTCCTATTTATATTCATTTGATGACGGTTTCATTCATCAGGTAAAATACATACATACACATACACACTACATACATACATATTGTATACCCTTCCCAAGTTTAACTTTTATCCCTTGGATAATAGTTAGGGAAATCAAGTTGAATGGAATGTCACCTATTACATAACGATTATTTAATGTTTAGACCAATATGAATGTAAAGCGTAAGTGATTAATTAATAATAATAACTTGGATATGTGAATAAAAGTTATGAAATAATGAAAGAGTAGGCAAACAAGAAAATATAGGTGGTGGTGGTGGGGGAGGAGAAATAGGATAACGAAAATGCGAATATGAAATGATGTGTTGAGATGGTGGGGGAGATTTATATCTTAGGTGGGTGATTTTGTTTATTTATGAAATTTATTACTGTGATATTAATAATTGAAACCTTAGGCCTTAGTGTATATTCAACCCCCCTTTGTGTATTCAAAAAACAGTTTGTTCTCACTTTAAACCTATCCTGGTAATATTAGCTTATTATCCAAATTGTTTTCACATTATTTTCTTTATTATCTTTGTCTACTCTTAACCCCCTCCTCATTTCTAGTCTAGTTGACCTTTTATCCTTATATGCGATTAGATTGGTTCGAAATGCATTGCGCTAATATATCATCACATACTCAATTAGTATTACTTGTGTGAATCTTCCCATTGATGTTTAGGATTATAACTGATCAGTCTGTTATTGGCATATGTGCATACTGTGCGTATTGACTCGATATTGCCTTAATTCACAAGTATTATAATCGAAAATGGATAGTGGCTAGCAGTGGACTAAGAACTCAGTAGCTGAGTGGATAACGTGATGGCGTTTGAAGCGAAAGGTATTGGGTTCGAGTCCCAGAATGAACATCAACTCTGAGATGTAGGTACATTCAGCTGACGAGTCTTAAATAGGACGGAACGCACGTCCTTCATTCCACTGTTAGTCACTATCCATCTTTGCTTATAATATGATCATATAGTTGTGTTAATCTTCGTCTTCTTATTACACTATCGAAAGATATTGGTAAACATGCTTCAGAATTGAAGCAAGCATTAGCATGGGATGAATAATTAAGGTAGTAACATTATTTAAAGATAGAAGGATTGTAAAAAATTTATCAGTGAATGAAAACACTGGAATCACAGGTGTCTATTTTAATACTTGAATTCATGAATCGATCTAAGCTAGACCATCATTTGAAAACCTATAAGCACTGAATGACCGTTTCGTCCTAGTGTGGGACACCTCAGCAGTATGTATCCACGATCCTGAATGGGAGACTGGAACCCAGAACTTTCATTATTACTCATGAACGCTTAACCTTTAGTTTCATTTTAAATTAAGTGTAAAGGTTACATTTCAAATAATCTCAGACATTGAAATTTAAATAATGTCAATGTTGAAATTATTAGTCGATATCTGTACAACAGACCTGCTTGAACTCCACTGGTTACTGCTTCCCACTAGAACTCCAAGAAATACCCCATGGAGCCAGTTACTAGTGAGCATACGATTATAATCAGAAGGGGTTTTGTGGAGATGCGCACTGTTGAGGAATCCCATAATAGGACGAAATTGTCGTCTAGTGCTTCTAGGTGGTCTAGCTTCAATTGATTCATGATTTCAACTATGAAAAACATTGAAATCTCCACAGAAACCCCTCATAATGTCAATATTTCATCCAGCTAACTAGTGTTAGCTTCTTTTAGGAAATAATCCAAATCAATATTATTACAGAATGAATGACGTTTTCGAAAAGCCAGTTTTTTAATATAATTAGTTTTAAGTTTTGAACCAATTTGTTGAAGTGCTTTAAATCCCATCTCATTTTAAATAGAATTTCTGCAAGCAAAGATGGATGGTGGCTCACAGTGGAAACCAAAACGCATGTTTTTCTCCAATTCGGGACACGTCAGCTGGATGTACTTGCATCCCATAGTTGATATTTACTGTGAGACTCGAACCCAATAGCGTTCATTTCAAGTGCCACCGAGTTATCAACTTAACTACTGAGTCCTGATAGCCACTAGCTTGTAAAATTGAGTGAAGTTTAAATTCATTTTTTATTGTTTGCTTGAATTTTCCCATTGATTTCAGCAGGAACTTTTTCGGGAATCTAATCACAAATTGATCACTGAACAATTTGAGGTTACTCACCTCTTGACGTATATACATATAAATATAGATATAAATATAAATGCATATTTACATTTCTCAGTTATGCTTGTCACCACATGGGGCACAGGCTTCTGATCAAGATTATCCAACGAACTCTTTCCTGAGATCTTCTACCTAGTTGTTTCCGGTTATTAATCATCCTTTTCATGTCTGCTTCCAATTCTTCACGCAGTATATTCTTTAGTCTTGCTCTTTTCCATTTACCACCACGATTCTAAGTTGGCGATTGCCTCGTAATGCAGTTTGATGATTTCACACACGTATGTCCTAACCACTTTCCTAGTTTCCTGTTCAACTGAAAGCTGGTTTTTTCTCTTCTACAGAAGGCAGTTGCCGATGGTATCCGGTCAACGAACACTGAATATCTTGTGCAGACAATTGTCAATAGATACCTGTACCTCTTTGATGATGATTGTAGTAATTCTCGAAGTTTTGGATCCGTACAGTAGAACTGTTTGTAGAGCAAAAGATCATATTTGAATTTTATATTCACCCATTCTTTTGAAACCGTATATTTTACCTATAAACACCTAGTCACTCATATCATTTCATTATTATCCATATATCATATGATTCTTTTGAAACTTCATCATTAACAAATTAGAGTATAAAGCTTCTTGTAAATATTCATATGAAATAAAAAGAATGTATCATATATCATAGTTGAAAACGTGAGTCAATTGAGTCTAGACCACCAAGGAAAACATGGAAACACTGGACGGCCGTTTCGTCCTATTGTGGGATTCCTGAGCAGTGTGCATCCACGATCCCGCCTCACGAGATTCGAACCGAGGACCTACCAGTCTCGCACCAGTGCACTTAACCAATAGAGCAGGCAGACGAAACGGTTGTCAAGTGCTTCCAGGTTTTCTCTGGTCGTCTAGTTTCAATTGACTCACGCTTTCAAATATGAAAATACTAAATCTCCACAAAACCCCCTTCTGATAATAAGTATCATATATCATTTGCTATTCAGCATCACAATCAAATCAAAAGCAATCAAACAATGATATTTTTTTGTAAGAGAGAGGGTTCATTAACTTGACATCATCGTCATCGTCATCATCACCTTGTCTTCATCGAATCTATGTCACATTCTGTTTATTTATTTGTTTGTTTACCATTAACAATGTTGTGTACTTTATTCGAAAATAATAACAACAACAACAACAATGAAAGTTCTTGTTTTATAATCGTTTCAAATAAGTGTGAACATAGACTCATCAGTTTTGTAAATTCATTTGTAGGTGTATACATGTGTGCATGTGCGTGTGTGTGTGCGCGTATGTTTGCGTATGTATCCATATTCATGGCTAATAAGGATCATCAACTTGTACATCAACTTTCATTATCATGTCTATCGTTAATAATAAAGATTTTTGATAACTGAACTGACGATGTAACAATAGAACTATGCAAGAATGTTTATTTAAATAGTATATGAAGATTGTTAATTTCTGGTCAGAAGGGGCTTTGTGGAGATTTCAGTATTTTCATAGTTGAAATCATGAGTCAATTAAAGCTAGACAATCATGGAAAACCTGGAAGAACTGGATGGCCGTTTCGTCCTATTATGGGACTGATTTCAAAAGATATTTCCTGGAGTTCTAGTGAGAAGCAGTGACCAGTGGAGTTCAACCAGGTCTGTTAGGAGATATTAACTGACTGAAGATATTTGTGATATGGTTGTTCAATTTTGTGGATTGGTTGAAGTTAGACATTAACACTATGGGATGCCGGCTCAGTAGTTTATCGGCTAAGCGCTCTGGTGCGAGACTGGTTTGTCCTGGGTCCGAATCTCGCTAGGCGAAGTCGTGAATGCGCACTCCTGAGGAGTCCCATAATAGGACGAAACGGACATCCAGTGCTTCCAGTTTTTCCATGGTTGTGTAGCTTTAATTGACTCATGATTTCAACTATGAAGATTGTTAGTTTGTTAGTTGATGAACTATTGAGTATAAATACGTTTTTTCTGACTTACAAATTCTCTTTTCAGTAATATATATTTGCTAGTTTATCTAAAATGGAACTAAATATCTTAAGTCTTATGATAGATGAGACAATGATTTATTTTCTTTGAAATGATTCTTCCATTATAACTTCCATTATAACTGTAGCTCCTCTAGGGGCTACTGACGGTCCTAAGCCTGGATAAAGGTGGAGGGTTTGGCATGGGGATAGCGACCTTATCCCGTAGAAAAAACGGTAACCAGAAAAAATTATTAGAACCATTTAATTAAGTAAGATTCTTTCATTATAAACATACATGATTGAAGAATAAGATTGTAGAACTCTTCAAGTCTATTTAACCATTCTCATATTAGCAATCAACCAAGGACTATGAAGTCGTGAGATGACCATTGGGCAACTAGTAGGTGACTGAGCTTTGAAGTATCAGCTTCTAGTTATCAATTCAATTGTCTAATGTTAGAAACTTATTGAAAAGTTGAAATCATAAGTCAACTGAAGCTGAGGAGTCCCATAATAGGACGAAACGGCCGTCCAATGCTTACAGATTTTCCATGATGGTCTAGCTTCAATTGACTCATGATTTCAACTATGAAACATACTAAATCTCCACAAAACCCTTTCTGATATTTAACTTTTACCTAATTATTGTGCTAATTTGATTGTTTACACCTATGTTCTGACAACTGTATGACATATATCTCTATTTACCAAAAGACTTTTTATGTA